TTCTGGGAGTTGAAGTCCACGCATCTTCCAGTTGCCAAGGTTGAAAAACCCCGCTCTACATTCTCCCAGCTGCAATGGTGATCAATGATGGCCTGACTGGGGCCAACACCAGGTGGACAGAGGGTCACCAACTCTCAAGTGGAATGAAACATAAAACAAGCAGCAAGACAGAATTCCTAGAACAGCTCCTTTTGAGGGCCGCTCTAGGAGTTTATCTCTGTTCTGGTAGTCAGTTCACCCTCTTGTACAGATGTGCGTAGCACAGCTGACTCCAGCGGCCGTCTGGAGTTAAAATTAACTTTCTATAACCTTCTCCCTGCTGACTGGGCTTAGTTCTTCTCCCACTACCATGAACTACTTCCTCTTGACCTGATTAAGCACGTCATGTCAGGTCATCGTGCCGCTTGGGAGGTAACACCGGTGGGGCAGGATTGGGTCCTCTAAAAATGGCCCCCAGAGCCTCTCCAAAACTCCTTGTTTTAACGATGAGGGGAGCAAGTAACGATATAAATTGTACATGATGAATTGAATTCATTTCTGTGCTGGCCCTACCTACATTCCCCCCCCACACCAAATAACACACAGGTCTCCGTGCACCCTTGCCACGTTTCCTCAACTGCAGACACCCCCAGAACACCACATGCCCCAAAGACCTGCTAGGTCCCTGATTCTGCTTTTTGCCCATGCTCCCCAAACCTGATGCCAACCCTAGCCATCCTTCCAGGGGGGCGGCCCTCGCCAAAAATGGTTTCCACAAAATCCAAGGCTCGGCGTCCTTGCAGGATTCCACATCCACTAAGGGGGCTGCTGTGGTCTTACACCCTCTCGCCCCAGAGGAAGGAGCCAGCCATGCTGAGCAGCAAGGCCCTTCCTGGTTCCTAAGGAGAAAAGACACTTGCAATTTCGAGATGAGATGCCGCTCAGCCTGAGACACCGTGCATTACCCCACATCACTGCCAATATGGGAATCACCTTATCTGAAGGGTTGGCAAGAACCCGTGCCCTCCCTCTGCTGCCCAGCTCCCACCCTGTCACGAGCTGTCATGTCTCCCCTCTTCAGAATGTCCTGGATCGACCATTTGTACCATCCCTGGACATTGGCTGTGCGACCTCTTGGCCTGAAGACCAGGCTTGCCTGCCCTCAGTTCTTCCACTTCTTTCTGGTAAGGCCCTAAACTGATTTACGACTTTAATTGCAATTTCTCATGTTTTATGGTTGCAAGCAGGACTCTCGTGGACAGTCCTGAGATGCTGTCAACCTCCAGTAACAAAGATTGCTGTGATATGTTTTGGCTGAAGTTAATGTAACCTGTTATCTCAAAAGTCTGGTCCTGATGACCCAGCACCTCATTTCCAACAGAGCCGGAGATATTCTAAGATGCTGAGAAGCACCGCCCTTGGAGAACATCCTCAAATGACCAGACTGAAATGCAGGGAACCCAACTCCACTTTGACCCAAACTGGCTTTGATATATAAGAGGAGATCCTGCAGGGTGCAGACCCTGCAGGCTACTGAGCTATTCAGCAAACAAAAGAAGGCTGACTTGCAAGGAAGACCATCCCCCAAAAAGCAGATTCCAGGAGCTCTTACATACGAATAATTTTCTGACAGGCTAAGCCTTAGGAGTGAACAGCTGAGCTTGGCAAGTCCTCCAAAACGGAGTACAAAAGCTCTACATTTGCAACAATCCTGTGCTACAGCAACAGCTACTGAGTTTAGACTCTGCCCAGAACTGTGAGATCTTTCTGGACAACTAAATTTCTGCCAGGTCACCAGTGAAGAACAAATGCTTGTGTTCCACTGTCCAAGAACCTGGTTTTGACCCTTTCTCTGCTTCTAGACCTTCTGACTTGGCCTCCTCACCTTCTCTCTTCCAGAAGTCTGACTCGCTGCCCTTCAACAGGACACCCCCTAAGCCATCACCACCTTCAGGAGCAACAAATTCTTGTAGGGAAGCACGCGTTCTTGTTTCCTTGCTGAGGGATGGTCCGAACGTCTATCTTTATCTCATGCGAGTTGTAGACTCCCTGCTCATTGCCAACTAGGCGTTCCAAACACATACATATGGTGCCTGAAACTCCCAGGATTCTCAGCCAGCAGTCCCAAAACATCTGGAAGGCACCAAGGCCATTCTATGCACGGTTGATGGTCCAGCAGGCTGCAAGGCGTTTCCCAGCAGGACTGAATCGAGGGAGAGCCAATCTCCAGGAGGTGCGTAGGTGGGGATTTTGATTCCCTGCCAGGCCCATGGAAACAATCAGTGTGCCTTTCCAAGCCAGCAAATGTTCAAAAGCCGTGCCTTTGGGGACTCTTGCACCAACTCAAAACGGTTCCACTGTCACCCCTGTAGGAACTAGGAGCTGACTTTCGAAACTGAAGCCTCTTGAGAAAGAGCCAGTGAAGGTAAGGAAGTTAACTCTCACACAGAGGACCTTATATCTGGTTCCAGCTGGCTCCCCATTCTTTAAGATCATCAGTGGGGGTCTTCAGTTGCCCCCATGGAATAATAGGCAATAGGAGAGACCAAGGAGAACATCTTCTCAGGAGAGGCACCCCACATCTGGAAAATCCTCCCCGGAAAAGCTCAGATGACGTCCCTGTTTTTATTCTCTCGGCACCAGATAGAAACTAGCAATAGGGTTGTCATTAAAAGATTCGGTGTTTAACTCTGACCTGGCATTGGTTCGAGGCGACATTCTCTATGGTTTTATCTTTATCGTTCTTCCTTAAATCTCATCCTGCCTTTTTAAGCACACGATGAGCAAGCTAGACCAACTGAAGGGGAAGAAGACTTCCTAAACTATGGTGCACAAAGTTCCCCTACAGGCCACAATTTACCCCTTCAGCAGAATCACAGATTTTAGGGGTTTAGTCAAAGGTTAACTTCCCACTCTCTATTTCTGCTCTTTGGGGTTCTCCTTCTCATTAGATGGAAGAGAAATGTGATGTTGCTCACCAAGCTATGTCTCCCTACACGTTCAGACATAAGCCATGATGACATCTCAGGGCTTTCTTACTTTAGTCAGGATCACCTTACACAGTACAGCAATGGGGAGAATCCCAAGATCTACATCCATTAGATAAAATGTTCCATTCTGGTATCTCAGGCCACACCACATCAAGAACATCACGAGCCACTTCCTGTTCTGGAAGGAAAACTGTTGGACCATCTCTAGAATAGGCTGATCAGTGTCATCTGGAGGAGCCTTCTGGAATCTCCCCAAATGTTCCGTCTCCGAGACTCAATATTTTGAACATCCCTCAAATCAGCGCAGCTTTTCCCAGAAAACGTGGGGAGGGAAATCCCGGTCAGTAGAAATCTAATATATATAGGGGAAAATCTCCACCTTGCCTGCTTCCTAGTTTTCTACCTAAGATTTTTTTCTTTCTACAACTCAGCTCCTTTTGCTACTCCATTGAGCACTGGAGTTGTGTGCAGATTGTTTAGTTGCAAGGAAGTAACTGTGGGGCCAGTCTGATCACCCCAAGCCATGTTTCCCCACTACGTACTATCATGTAAGGTTTGCACACTCCTCCCTCCCTGCATTGCTGAAGAAGACTGGAAACATTCACTCCTTCACACCAACCACAGTTCACCTTCTGCGGCCAAATCCAGAGAACGGTGGTTTCTTTAAAATTGTGGTTTGTCACAACAAGCCAGGATTGAGCTGTGGCTTTGGAGTCCGGCATGCTCTGAAACCACAGTTTTAAAAGAAACCGCATTCCCAGAGTTCAGAGATAACAGGGAATGTGGCTGAGCCCACGGCAGAAACTTCCAGCTTCCACATCAAGGCGAAGAGGAAGACGTGACTCTTGCCGGTTGGAACACCGTGCTCTGTTGGGTGAATACGTCCTTGTGCATACCTGAGGGATGCACTGGGGACTCCCCCGTCCCATTTGCTAGGTTGGAAGCCGAGGTTTTGTCTGAAAGCAGAGAGGCGGCTGATCCAGTTAAGACATGCAGGGGGGGGGCACATTAAAGCAGTGCATGGGTTCTCTCTGTGGCTAGCGCCGGCCCATAAGAGACTGTTGTTCAGATGACACGTTGCCCTCAAAAGTAATCATGGGTAAAGAATCCACAGCAGTGTTTCTCAACC